TATGTTATTGTTCATCTACTATTATTTTTAAGCATGTTACTGTTTTTGTTGACTATGTTATTACTATTATTTTTCTAAATATTAATGCTCAATATTACTATTTTTTTTTTGAATATTACTATTTTTTGTATTTGAATTGTACTATTTTTTGCATTTGAATTTGAGAGAAATAATTATTGTTATGTATGCTACAGTTTTTATTAAGCATGTTACTATTTTTGTTGAACATGTTACTATTGTTATTTTTTAAAAATATTAATATTAAATGTTTCAATTTTTTTATGTTTAAATGTTACTATTTTTTATTTTTAANGAGAAAGGCAAACCTCAAGCCATAGAACACCTTATCAAGTCATTGCTTAAATCAAGTCATTGTCACGTGACATGTCATTATTGGTTTTCTTAAATTTTTGCTTTATCTCCTTATCAACTTGAAAAGATCCAATGTGGCCCACATTAAATAAGAACTTAAAACTTGTATATTCTAATAAAAATTGGAAGTGAGTCTTTCTATATGTACTTGTTTGGAGATAAGCTCTGCAAAAAAATTTATAAGGGGTTAAGTCTATGTTTAAAATTATATGTAATGACTTAAATTTACTTTTTTTTTATCTCAAAAATACCCTTCCTTAAAAGGAATTTAATCTTTTTTCTCTCATATCTATCTATATTCATCTCTTATATAGTAATATTAAAAAAAAATAGTAACATTCAATACAAAAAAAAAAAATTACTATAAATTTGAATAGTAAAATTCAAATTCATGTTACTATTATTTTTTATTATGTTATTATTCATGTTACTGTTTTTTTTGAGTATGTTATTGTTCATCTATTATTATTTTTGAGCATGTTACTGTTTTTGTTGACCATGTTATTACTATTATTTTTCTAAATATTAATGCTCAATATTACTATTTTTTTTTTAATATTAGTATTTTTTGTATTTGAATTGTACTATTTTTTGCATTTGAATTTGAGAGAAATAATTATTGTTATGTATGCTATAGTTTTTGTTAAGCATGTTACTATTTTTGTTGAACATGTTAATATTTTTGTTGAACATGTTACTATTGTTATTTTTTAAAAATATTAATATTAAATGTTTCAATTTTTTTATGTTTAAATGTTACTATTTTTTATTTTTAATGTTACTATATATATATATATATATATATATATATATATATATATATAGATAAGAAAGAGAAAAAATTTTAATGTTAGTCAAACTCTTAACCTATATATGGATATAGATAGTTATAAGAGAGAAAATATTTTAATGTTAGTCAAACTCCTAAAATTTATGAGTTTTAAATTTTTAGTTTTGTTTCACTTCTAAACGAAAGAGATAATATAGTAAAATTGACCAAAAACGGATTTCATAACAAATAAGTTTTCTTGACAGACTTAAGTTTAAATAAGTCCATATAGGGAGATTGACCTCCAAATTTTCCTATATTCTATTAGATGTGCTAACTTAATAATTGATCTGTTTTATGGGTCTTTATTTGGTTCAATAAATTTAATGGGTGAATTAAAATTAGACTACATATGGGCCAAAAGTTTGTATAAAAATATGTATTGGGTCAAATTTATGAACTACTAGTCNTTATTATTTTTGAGCATGTTACTGTTTTTGTTGACCATGTTATTACTATTATTTTTCTAAATATTAATGCTCAATATTACTATTTTTTTTTTAATATTAGTATTTTTTGTATTTGAATTGTACTATTTTTTGCATTTGAATTTGAGAGAAATAATTATTGTTATGTATGCTATAGTTTTTGTTAAGCATGTTACTATTTTTGTTGAACATGTTAATATTTTTGTTGAACATGTTACTATTGTTATTTTTTAAAAATATTAATATTAAATGTTTCAATTTTTTTATGTTTAAATGTTACTATTTTTTATTTTTAATGTTACTATATATATATAAGAGAAAAAATTTTAATGTTAGTCAAACTCTTAACCTATATATGGATATAGATAGTTATAAGAGAGAAAAGATTTTAATGTTAGTCAAACTCCTAAAATTTATGAGTTTTAAATTTTTAGTTTTGTTTCACTTCTAAACGAAAGAGATAATATAGTAAAATTGACCAAAAACGGATTTCATAACAAATAAGTTTTCTTGACAGACTTAAGTTTAAATAAGTCCATATAGGGAGATTGACCTCCAAATTTTCCTATATTCTATTAGATGTGCTAACTTAATAATTGATCTGTTTTATGGGTCTTTATTTGGTTCAATAAATTTAATGGGTGAATTAAAATTAGACTACATATGGGCCAAAAGTTTGTATAAAAATATGTATTGGGTCAAATTTATGAACTACTAGTCATATAAAAATTAAGAGCAATGCTATACGGAATTTATTTGGGGACCTTTATGAACTACTAGTCATATATTTATTCAACGTGTCCGTATCTTATTTTTTTGAGAAATAACGTATTCGCGTATCTGTATTGTATTGTATTCGTGTCTTGTGTTCGTGTCCGTGCTCCTTAGATAGACCCGAAGTCACGGACCTTAGAAATGCCAACCAAACAAAGAATAAGTAATTGTGTTGAACTGTTTTTTTGAAACGTGGTGTATTCTTACACATATAGATTGATTGATGTAAATCAAAACAAAAATGATAAGCAGTTTAACTTTCTTAGGCATTTAGTCAATAGATGTAGACCAAGTGGANGATAAGAAAGAGAAAAAATTTTAATGTTAGTCAAACTCTTAACCTATATATGGATATAGATAGTTATAAGAGAGAAAATATTTTAATGTTAGTCAAACTCCTAAAATTTATGAGTTTTAAATTTTTAGTTTTGTTTCACTTCTAAACGAAAGAGATAATATAGTAAAATTGACCAAAAACGGATTTCATAACAAATAAGTTTTCTTGACAGACTTAAGTTTAAATAAGTCCATATAGGGAGATTGACCTCCAAATTTTCCTATATTCTATTAGATGTGCTAACTTAATAATTGATCTGTTTTATGGGTCTTTATTTGGTTCAATAAATTTAATGGGTGAATTAAAATTAGACTACATATGGGCCAAAAGTTTGTATAAAAATATGTATTGGGTCAAATTTATGAACTACTAGTCATATAAAAATTAAGAGCAATGCTATACGGAATTTATTTGGGGACCTTTATGAACTACTAGTCATATATTTATTCAACGTGTCCGTATCTTATTTTTTTGAGAAATAACGTATTCGCGTATCTGTATTGTATTGTATTCGTGTCTTGTGTTCGTGTCCGTGCTCCTTAGATAGACCCGAAGTCACGGACCTTAGAAATGCCAACCAAACAAAGAATAAGTAATTGTGTTGAACTGTTTTTTTGAAACGTGGTGTATTCTTACACATATAGATTGATTGATGTAAATCAAAACAAAAATGATAAGCAGTTTAACTTTCTTAGGCATTTAGTCAATAGATGTAGACCAAGTGGATGAATCACGTATATTTGTGATTGCTATTTTTCTTGTTTCTCGATCATTTTATTTATATTCAAAATATATCAGTTTCCTCATTTGTCAAGTGTGCCATGTTGCATGTAATTTTCCTTCTTTACAAATCCAGAATTCACACGGTTGACTAATGTTTCTGTAGCATGATCATAAGGGTAAAAAATTGTCTATGTTGAGCTGTGGAAAGACTGAATGTTTCTGTAGCATGAGTTTTGCTCTCACGTCTATATATATATATACACATTTGTACAATGAAAGATAGTAGCAGCTAAGCTTTATTTCGCCTATAGAGCCATACAGAACTACAGATACATTAGTATGTAAATTCTCATTTCAGATAAGTACTACATTTTTTCTGTTAATACAACTGTAAAATATGCCTGAAGGGCCACCGTCAGGCATAAGAGCCAGCATCACAGGACTTTTTGCACCTTTTTTGACAGTTGCTATCCCACAGTTATAATTTATATATGTTTTCACAGATCCAGGACATACTGCATTTNGTTTCACTTCTAAACGAAAGAGATAATGTAGTAAAATTGACCAAAAACGGATTTCATAACAAATAAGTTTTATTGACAGACTTAAGTTTAAATAAGTCCATATAGGGAGATTGACCTCCAAATTTTCCTATATTCTATTAGATGTGCTAACTTAATAATTGATCTGTTTTATGGGTCTTTATTTGGTTCAATAAATTTAATGGGTGAATTAAAATTAGACTACATATGGGCCAAAAGTTTGGATAAAAATATGTATTGGGTCAAATTTATGAACTATTAGTCATATAAAAATTAAGAGCAATGCTATACGGAATTTATTTGGGGACCTTTATGAACTACTAGTCATATATTTATTCAACGTGTCCGTATCCTATTTTTTTGAGAAATAACGTATTCGCGTATCCATATTGTATTGTATTCGTGTCTTGTGTTCGTGTCCGTGCTTCTTAGACAGACCCGAAGTCACAGACCTTAGAAATGCCAACCAAACAAAGAATAAGTAATTGTGTTGAACTTTTTTTTTCAAACGTGGTGTATTCTTACACATATAGATTGATTGATGTAAATCATTACACATATAGATTGATTCATGTAAATCAAAACAAAAATGATAAGCAGTTTAACTTTCTTAGGCATTTAGTCAATAGATGTAGACCAAGTGGATGAATCACGTATATTTGTGATTGCCATTTTTCTTGTTTCTCGATCATTTTATTTATATTCAAAATATATGAGTTTCCTCATTTGTCAAGTGTGCCATGTTGCATGTAATTTCCTTCTTTACAAATCCAGAATTCACACGGTTGACTAATGTTTCTGTAGCATGATCATAAGGGTAAAAAATTGTCTATGTTGAGCTGTGGAAAGACTGAATGTTTCTGTAGCATGAGTTTTGCTCTCACGTCTATATATATATATACACATTTGTACAATAAAAGATAGTAGCAGCTAAGCTTTATTTCGCCTATAGAGCCATACAGAACTACAGATACATTAGTATGTAAATTCTCATTTCAGATAAGTACTACATTTTTTCTGTTAATACAACTGTAAAATATGCCTGAAGGGCCACCGTCAGGCATAAGAGCCAGCATCACAGGACTTTTTGCACCTTTTTTGACAGTTGCTATCCCACAGTTATAATTTATATATGTTTTCACAGATCCAGGACATACTGCATTTATAGCAATATTGGGATATGTCTTTGTCAAAATCCTTGTGTAGGCATTAAGAGCTGCTTTAGAGACCATATAAATAGAGAAATTTATTGGCCAACCTTTACTTTCCTGCAAACCCTCCTTGACATCCTTCAAAAATCCCTTCACCACCTCGTCCACTTTCTCCTCTGTGAGCCCATTAACATCTCCAAGCTCCTCCTTAGCTCTTTCATGGGACATAAGCTGAAATATAATCAAACATGTTGCATCTTTTAGACTCATGGATGCATAAAGTTCGAATGCATGCAAATTACGGCGGAGACATTAACAAGCCTGGCTGAATTTGATTTCTGAAGAAGAGGTAAAAGTGCTTTTGTCACATGCTTAACACCATAGTAGTTGGTTCCTAGGCAGGCTTCTGATTGCTCATAACCTTCCTTAAGAATTTCCTTAAGCATTTTAGCCTTGGAACCTACAACCTATATCCACAATTTGATTTCAATTCAACTTATAAATACTGGAATGTAATGAGAAATTATACGTCATGAGACTTACCTCATCAATACCAAGTTTTAAATTTTCCCCGAGTTTCTTGAACGATTATTGCTCCAATAACTCCTGCATTATTTACCTGCACCAAGCATTACTCATTTACTTATCTTTGCTCAAACATAAATTTTTGAAGTTGGAATCATTATAGGAATTTAAATGTAGTTTGAACTACAAATTCATCACCTATTTTGCACCTCAACCACCATATACAGCTAACGACAAATTTCCATTCGTATCAAGTGAATATTAGTTTTATGGTTAATCTTACCAGTAAGTCGAGCTTCCCGAATTGTTTCTTGATGAAGTCTGCCAAGGAAGCAACACTAGCAGGGTCCATGACATCTAGTGATGGAAACATATATCTAAAATCCCAAAGGTTATAAGTTTTTTAACGTCTTCAAAGCCGCACTTTTCATCTCTAGCTGTTAATACCACCGTGACTCCATTGGAGACTAATTGCCATCATATCTCGAACCCAATCCCCTTATTAGCTCCTGTCACGACCACCACCCTGAACATCATAGACATAACAATAAAAATTAAAGAAGAAACCCATATGAGGATTCATCACCTCTTAAAAACCCACAAAAAGGAGCGGGGTTGGGGAGAGAGATCGTTATAATGCATTAATTTGAAGACTTTGTTTGATAAGAAGAGATCAAAGAGAACAATGTAAAACTTACAATATTTTTCGTAGTCTAAGTGTAATATGTTGTTTGTAGTATTCCAAAATTGTAAAATCACTTATTGATATTTCTGATAATTACAATAGGCTTATGAAACACGAAAGAGTTACAACAAACAGATACACGTAACTCTATGCCAAATTAATATAAAAACTAATCCAGTTGCAGAATAGGAACTGTTATTGAACTCGTTACAGATCAAGGCTAGTGTTTGACACTATATCTTTAAGACAGATTTCGCCCCCACATACGGTGCTTATGGAATCCGAGCGTCTGTCTCTCAGGATACAATGATCTTCCACGAACAGAAGTAGCACTTCAATTTATTCGTACAACGAACCAAAACTTGTGTCGTGTACTCTCTAAAACGTACTGTCTTAAATGTCTTAATGCAGACTGTTTAATGCCTTAATGGACTGATCAATTGAATGAATAAAATGAATGCATGCACCGGGTATTTATAGATAGTCTGGTGACTGTCCGGACAGGCACCTCACAAAAGGACACAACCCAGAAACAAAAATCGACCCAATCAGCGGACACCTTGAATAACTGTTCTTCATGAACAGTCACATCTTGAAAATTTCGAACTTGAGCAAATCCGAACTATCCAACGGGTTCGAACTGGAGCAAATCTGAATTATCTAATGGATACCAAAATTAATTTCGGGTTAAGAAATTCATGCCCAATTAATTAAATGAATTTTCTCTAAAAAGATAAGGTTTGGTCTAAAGCACACCCACACCCTAGCCCGGCCCACTTGGGCGGCGCGCGCGTGGTAGACCCAACAGCATGTAAGTGCTCGTTCCGCTCATAAAATTGTGGTACCCCTTGAGGCCCAACCCATAGAGCAAACTTGAGCTATATATGCTCATGTTGAATTTCTTACTCAATCAATGTGAGATTGGTGNCTGATGGAAACATATATCTAAAATCCCAAAGGTTATAAGTTTTTTAACATCTTCAAAGCCGCACTTTTCATCTCTAGCTGTTAATACCACCGTGACTCCATTGGAGACTAATTGCCATCATATCTCGAACCCAATCCCCTTATTAGCTCCTGTCACGACCACCACCCTGAACATCATAGACATAACAATAAAAATTAAAGAAGAAACCCATATGAGGATTCATCACCTCTTAAAAACCCACAAAAAGGAGCGGGGTTGGGGAGAGAGATCGTTATAATGCATTAATTTGAAGACTTTGTTTGATAAGAAGAGATCAAAGAGAACAATGTAAAACTTACAATATTTTTCGTAGTCTAAGTGTAATATGTTGTTTGTAGTATTCCAAAATTGTAAAATCACTTATTAATATTTCTGATAATTACAATAGGCTTATGAAACACGAAAGAGTTACAACAAACAAATACACGTAACTCTATGCCAAATTAATATAAAAACTAATCCAGTTGCAGAATAGGAACTGTTATTGAACTCGTTACAGATCAAGGCTAGTGTTTGACACTATATCTTTAAGACAGATTTCGCCCCCACATACGGTGCTTATGGAATCCGAGCGTCTGTCTCTCAGGATACAATGATCTTCCACGAACAGAAGTAGCACTTCAATTTATTCGTACAACGAACCAAAACTTGTGTCGTGTACTCTCTAAAACGTACTGTCTTAAATGCCTTAATGCAGACTGTTTAATGCCTTAATGGACTGATCAATTGAATGAATAAAATGAATGCATGCACTGGGTATTTATAGATAGTCTGGTGACTGTCCGGACAGGCACCTCACAAAAGGACACAACCCAGAAACAAAAATCGACCCAATCAGCGGACACCTTGAATAACTGTTCTTCATGAACAGTCACATCTTGAAAATTTCGAACTTGAGCAAATCCGAACTATCCAACGGGTTCGAACTGGAGCAAATCTGAATTATCTAATGGATACCAAAATTAATTTCGAGTTAAGAAATTCATGCCCAATTAATTAAATGAATTTTCTCTAAAAAGATAAGGTTTGNTCTCTCAGGATACAATGATCTTCCACGAACAGAAGTAGCACTTCAATTTGTTCGTACAACGAACCAAAACTTGTGTCGTGTACTCTCTAAAACGTACTGTCTTAAATGCCTTAATGCAGACTGTTTAATGCCTTAATGGACTGATCAATTGAATGAATAAAATGAATGCATGCACTGGGTATTTATAGATAGTCTGGTGACTGTCCGGACAGGCACCTCACAAAAGGACACAACCCAGAAATAAAAATCGACCCAATCAGCGGACACCTTGAATAACTGTTCTTCATGAACAGTCACATCTTGAAAATTTCGAACTTGAGCAAATCCGAACTATCCAACGGGTTCGAACTGGAGCAAATCTGAATTATCTAATGGATACCAAAATTAATTTCGGGTTAAGAAATTCATGCCCAATTAATTAAATGAATTTTCTCTAAAAAGATAAGGTTTGGTCTAAAGCACACCCACACCCTAGCCCGGCCCACTTGGGCGGCGCGCGCGTGGTAGACCCAACAGCATGTAAGTGCTCGTTCCGCTCATAAAATTGTGGTACCCCTTGAGGCCCAACCCATAGAGCAAACTTGAGCTATATATGCTCATGTTGAATTTCTTACTCAATCAATGTGAGATTGGTGTCAAATCCCACATTGCACATCTTTTATTTTCACTCTTCAAGAGGGTTACTTTGAAGCCTATTTTCTCATTCATTTCTTATTCGATTTGAGCAAGTGAATATTCCACGATATACTCCTCATGGAGTAGAATATGAACCCACGAAAATTTATTCGAAATAACTAATGGGTCCTACTTTGATTTACACTCAAAGTTGACCAAAAACTCTATTTTTTTACACTAAAAAACTGCTTTTGGTCTAACATAATCAATTGATATCAATGTTATTGGACTTAATTTGAGTAATTTATATATTTTAGTCATTGTATTATTAATATCGAATCAAATTACTATTTAATAAGAGATTGCTCATTAGGTCTCAATTAAATTTTAAGTTAAATACAAGTAATATTATTGTATCAGACCAGATCTATCCATTAGATTACGAACTGCGTAGCCAAGATGTTGACTAGTGGTTTGTTCATGAGATTGGATCTAATTTGTATATAGTTTGTTTCTTTCTTTTTTTTTGCTTTGCTTATGTGTTATTTCTTATTTCACCTTTTTTTAATAGAGCGGGGTTATCCCCACCCTTTCAAAATCTTTCTCCACGCCAGTTAAATTTCTTATTTCAAATTATTGATAAGTCCAGCCAATAACAAAATGACCTCGGGCAGTTATCATATTACATAAAATGGTGGTTATTGATTTTAGTGAGATCCACTTATTAACTTATCGTTTTTTTATTGGATACTAACATTAGTTGTTAATAAGGGTGTGATTTCTTTTTTTTATTTTTAAGTGATGTCAATATTGTACTTAATATTTTCCTTGGATACTGGGCTAACTAGGGGTGTTCACCCTACCTTACGAGTAGGAAATATGATCTTCCATATTCCTACCCGATCTTTGCGAAAAATTTTTTTTTTTGTCTTACCCTACCTAATCAAGTGTAATATTCCTACTCAACTTCCGTCCAAATTAATCGAGTAGGAAGACCGGTAGGAAATCAGGTAAACAAGTTTTATAATTATTAATTTTTGGATCATTTTAATAATTCAATTAAATAACTTGCACCAATTTAGCAATACAATAAACTAATAACACTAAATCCTAAAACAATTACAATAACAATTATAATAAAACACAAGAAAGCTCAAGGCATAAACATCAATTCATCAAAATTGTTGCACAAATACAATAACAACTATTTTAGGTTTAAATTAGATGAAACACATCAAAAATCATAACTGTTCCAATAGATCACCACAAATCATATAACCTGCGCCAAAAACTTCACTTGATTGGGTAGGGTAGACCAAGAAATTTTTTTTTTTCGCAAAACATCGAATAAGAAAATGAAATACCATATTTCTTACCCGTAAGATAGGGTGAATACCCCTAAAGTAACGAGGCGACAGAGACGAGCTACTGAATAGATAGGGGTGTTCAAAGATAAGGTGAGAGAGATGAGAGAAACGAGATGGCGAGAGAGGTGAGAGAGGCGAGATGAGGAGGTTGGAGGCGAGACAAATGAGGTCCTCAAGAGGCGACAAGGCGTTAGGGAATTAGGGTTTTTAGTTATACAGATAGAGTAGGGTAAGAATGTGAAAATTTGATGGGTATTCCGTATTCCTACCCGATTTAATCAGAAAACCAAAAACTCTTCTGCACTCCTACTCGATTTTTTCGGTTAGCCGATCAATAGGATAGGGTAGATAGGGTAGAATAAGAAATTATGGTTCATCGAAAATTTGAACACCTCTAGGCCTAATGTTGAGGATCATAGGGTGACTAGGTCAAATAGGTCACTATATTGTCTATGTTCAAGATTAGGGATTCAGTATGGGGGTAATGGGGGCAGCTACCCCCACTGAAATTTTAAAAATATTTGGGACCTAGGTAAATTTTTAAAAATTTTTAAATTTGCCCCCACTAAAATTTTCATAAAGTATGGGTGGGTTAGTGTAGTTTTCAAACTATTAAATATAACTTTGGTTACTCGCTCACTTCACCCCTGATACTCGTTTAGACGTCTTTTTTGTTCAAATTTTGATTTCTGCGACTATGCATTTCTTCATCTACCCTCACTTCATTTCTTCCTTTGATTTTTTGGAAACTTTGATATATTCATCAACAAATAGGCTTACTTGGTTGTTAGAGTTTAGGATATATAGCAAGAATTATCTCATCAAAACCACGTGAACAATACTCAAAAAAAAATAAAATAGTAGCTAATTTTTGTTGCACTGTATCACTTTAATTTCAACACAAAATCAAAGCATGAACAAGACAAACTCTGCTACATTCAATCAACAAATTCCACTCCCAAAAAATTGTTCATTTCAATTAAAAATTTAGTACAACAAGACCCAAATATAAGGAAACTAGATCTGAAATTTCAGCAACAAATACACACAAATATTGTAGATTTATGGATTATACTATTGTGGATTTATACATTATATTTTGATTATGTGTAGTACATTATGTCATTTGCTATGAACTTAATGACAAATTATTAAATTTGAATCTAATTAGACAAATTTATTTTTTAATTAGTTATGAATAAATTTCTTGTAAAAAATTAATACTGGAACAACCGACTCCTAGTCAAAAAATAGATGATCTTTTTTTGTGAGGTTTTTTTTGTTGTCTTTTTTAATATTTCGCTAATATAAAAAATCGCTAATATATATGAGTTGCGTATCTAAATGTAATTGTTTTTATGGAACTATACATAAAAAAAAGTTTCTTAAGAACAATGTTGCACTTATAGTTAAAATTTTAAAAATTTAGGTCACCCCCACTGAAACAAAATCCTCCACTCCTGTTCAAGATGACCTAATTTGCAAGACAGTGATATATATATAACTAAAAATAAAAGGATAAATTCAAGAACACGACTTATATTTGACTTTTTATTTTACAATATTTATTTATTCAACCGTCCTTTATATTTTAAAATTACAATAGTGAAATCACATCCAGCATGAACAAGATGAAATAGTTATTCTAATATGGCATATCTGACTAGCTAAATTAAGGTCTTTCCAGTGAAATCTTTCACCGAACAGATGAAAGAGTTCTTCTAAGTAGCCTATTTGACTAGCAAAGTTAAGGTTTTTAAGTGGTTCATCCTAAAAGGTCTTCAATTATACCAATCCTATAAGAATTCTATTTTCTCTTTTTCAATTTATTATGATAGTTGAATTGACGGCAAATTGCATCCAAATTTGAATCTTATTGTCAATCTATTGACAAGATCCAAAAACATTGCTCTTTGCATATTTCGTATTTATAAAACATAATAAATTTTGATGTTGAATTGAAGACAAATAACTATAACAATCCTCGCAGTAAACTTAAATGATTCTCAAAATTACTAGTTTGGCCTCTTTGGTTTTGCATATTTCAATATGGCCCTTTACACAAATAATCCTACAACATATATCATTGCCAATTTTATTTTGAATGGTGGGTCTATATTGTTTGGTGATTTTTTTTTTTTTTTGTTATACATTTCTTTTAAGAGCAATTGTTTTGTTTTTTTACATAATGTCTTTAGGCACGGGCAATGATTAGTGTATACATATAGGTATAACTTTAAATACGTGCGCGCACACCTAAACACACACAACATAAGGAGCTTTTAAGACATACAAAAAATAAAAACTAGTAGCGTTGAGTTTTATTTCTCCTCTGGCCATCTGTATACAAAGATATTTAAACCCTTATTCTAAATTCTATTACATTTCATTCGTTAAAAAGTTGATACTTCCGTGCCACTGAAATAAAGCCCTGAAGGGCCACCATTAGTCATGAGAGCCAATTTCACAGGACCTTTTGCACCTTCTTCAACAGTCAGTATTCCAGTGTTACAATTTATTTCTGTTTTCACATATCCAGGATGCACTGCATTAATGACAATATTGGGATATGTCTTTGCCAAAATCCTCGTGTAGGCATTAAGAGCTGCCTTGGATACCGTGTAAGCAGGGAGATTTATAGGCCAACCTTTAGTTTCTAGCAAACCCTCCTTTGCGTCTTTCAAAAGTCCCTTCACCACCTCGTCCACTTTTTCTTCTGTAAGCCCATTAATATCTCCCAACTCGTCCTTAGTTCTTTCATGGGACATAAACTAAAATACAATCAAACAGTTGTTTTAAGATAAACCATTTTAAAACAAACCATTTGTGTTGCTCAAACTCGGATTTTATGTGCTCAATGGTATTCACCCATTATGAAAAATAAGTTTTGTACCTGCAGCTGCCCGAATATGGAGGAGACATTTACAATTCTGGCTGAATTTGATTGCTGGAGAAGAGGTAAAAGTCCTTTTGTCACTTGCTTAACACCATAATAGTTTGTTCTTAGACAAGCTTCTGCCTCCCCGTAGCTTTCCTTAGTACCTTCCTTAAGCAATTTAACCTTGGCACGTAAAACCTATATCCACAATTTTGTATGAAAACATCTAAATCATAGGACAATCAATATAGCACATGAGTTTAATACAACTGATAAATGTTGAAATATATTGAGAAAAATTTATATAAAAAAACTTACCGCATCAAGATCAAATTGGACAGTTTCCCAACCCTTCTCATCGATTGTTGTTCCAATAATTGCTGCATTATTAATCTGCACCAGGAGTTATTCATTTACTTATCTTGCTCATACATACATTTTCGAAGTCTTGATGAAATAACCATTTTCAAAGCTATGGAAGACTAAAGGTGTAGTCCCTTTCTTCATTAGACGATGTTGAATGTTAACCACGAATAAGTGACTCCTAAATTCATTCTCTCTCTCTATCTGTCTCTATTGTAAATATGTAACTTTTAATTAATTCTAATTTTACCAATATGTCAAGCTTCCCGAAATGTGCCTTGATGAATTCTGCTAGGGAAGCAACGCTAGCAGGGTCCGTGACATCAAGCTGGTGGAAAAATACATCTGAAAGTCCAAAAGTTTTAAGTTTCTCAACAGCTTCAACGCCGCGTTTCTTATCTCTAGCTGTTAATACCACCGTAATTCCATTGGAGGCTAATTGTCTACATATTTCTAATCCAATCCCCTTATTAGCCCCCGTCACGACCGCCATCCTGAAGATCATAAACATAACCATGAGAATTAAAAGCAGATAACTGGAAGGATTCATCACCTTGTAAAATCCCACAAAAAAGGAAGGGGAGAGAGAGAGAGCATTAAACTTGTATTTGAAGACTTTTTTTGATAGAAAGAAATCAAAGAGAAGGAAAATATACCTCTTGGTTGTCTGATCTTTCATTGTTTGAGCCATAATATATCCGAGAATCTGTTATCGGTAGGAGTTATAGTTTTAGACTTGTTATGATGNTTATGAACTTAATGACAAATTATTAAATTTGAATCTAATTAGGCAAATTTATTTTTTAATTAGTTATGAATAAATTTCTTGTAAAAAAATTAATACTGGAACAACCGACTCCTAGTCAAAAAATAGATGATCTTTTTTTTGTGAGGTTTTTTTTGTTGTCTTTTTTAATATATCGCTAATATAAAAAATCGCTAATGTATATGAGTTGCGTATCTAAATGTAATTGTTTTTATGGAACTATACATAAAAAAAAGNAACCAAAAACTCTTCTGCACTCCTACTCGATTTTTTCGGTTAGCCGATCAATAGGATAGGGTAGATAGGGTAGAATAAGAAATTATGGTTCATCGAAAATTTGAACACCTCTAGGCCTAATGTTGAGGATCATAGGNGACCAAAAACTCTTCTGCACTCCTACTCGATTTTTTCGGTTAGCCGATCAATAGGATAGGGTAGATAGGGTAGAATAAAAAATTATGGTTCATCGAAAATTTGAACACCTCTAGGCCTAATGTTGAGGATCATAGGGTGACTAGGTCAAATAGGTCACTATATTGTCTATGTTCAAGATTAGGGANCCTTAATGCAGACTGTTTAATGCCTTAATGGACTGATCAATTGAATGAATAAAATGAATGCATGCACTGGGTATTTATAGATAGTCTGGTGACTGTCCGGACAGGCACCTCACAAAAGGACACAACCCAGAAATAAAAATCGACCCAATCAGCGGACACCTTGAATAACTGTTCTTCATGAACAGTCACATCTTGAAAATTTCGAACTTGAGCAAANCTCCTTAGTTCTTTCATGGGACATAAACTAAAATACAATCAAACAGTTGTTTTAAGATAAACCATTTTTCAAAAAGAAAAAAAAAAGACTAAATAAAATTTAATAGTGAAGGTATGTGTTTGTCCACTATCAATTTTTTTTTTGGGTTATCAAGTATTATTCCAACGTTGCATCTTTTAAATTCATGGTTGCAACACAATTTGCATATATGCAATCATCTACTAACCATTTGTGTTGCTCAAACTCGGATTTTATGTGTTCAATGGTATTCACCCATTATGAAAAATAAGTTTTGTACCTGCAGCTGCCCGAATATGGAGGAGACATTTACAATTCTGGCTGAATTTGATTGCTGGAGAAGAGGTAAAAGTCCTTTTGTCACTTGCTTAACACCATAATAGTTTGTTCTTAGACAAGCTTCTGCCTCCTCGTAGCTTTCCTTAGTACCTTCCTTAAGCAATTTAACCTTGGCACGTAAAACCTATATCCACAATTTTGTATGAAAACATCTAAATCATAGGACAATCAATATAGCACATGAGTTTAATACAACTGATAAATGTTGAAATATATTGAGAAAAATTTATATAAAAAAACTTACCGCATCAAGATCAAATTGGACAGTTTCCCAACCCTTCTCATCGATTGTTGTTCCAATAATTGCCNAAGGGGTTCATTGATATGCAGCTATCGGCCACATTTGATATTTTCAAGTTGATAAGGAGATAAGGCAAAAATCTAAAAAAAATCAATAATGATATGCCACATGGCAATGACTTGATTTAAACAATACAACGAAAAAAAATATCTGTCATTTTCCCACAAAAAAAAAAAGTAGATCTGCCCGTAGGTGCCCCCACCCCACCTAGATGTGCCCGTAAGGCCCCCCACCCCCCTCTTTTTTTCTCTCTCTCTCTCTCTCTCTCTCTCAAACACACCGACACACCTCTTCTCTCTAATCTCTCTCTATTTTCTCTATAAAGATGGAAAACTTGTACATTCTATTGGATGGGCTAACTCAATAATTAATCTGTATTATGGGTCTTTGTTTGGTCCAATAAATTTAATGGGTAAATTAAAATTAGATTACATTTGAGCCAAATTTATTCATTTACTTGGATCAAAAGTATGTATAAAAATGTGTATTGGGTCAAATTTATGAACTACTAGTCATATAAAAATTAAATACATATATTTATTCAATATGTCCCCAATGTGTCCGTGTTCTACTTTTTTAAGAAATAGCATAGTCATATGTCTGTATCATATCATATCTGTAGCCGTGTTCGTGCTTCTTAGATAGACTCTAAGTCACGGACCTTAGAAATGTCAATCAAACAAAGAATAAGTAATTGTGTTGAACTTTTTTTTCAACCGTGGTGTATTCTTACACATATAGATTGATTGATGTAAATCAAAACAAAACTAGTGAGAATGATGAGAAATTTAGGGGTCATTTGGTAACATTTTCGTTTTCACGTCTTCAAAACAATCAAAAACAGAGACAATTTTTGTCTCTGTTTTGTGATAAGCACTGAAACAGAAAACATGTTTGAATGTCATTTTTGTCTATCAAATAATTAGAATAAAAAACAAAACGTGTTTTATAACTAATTCACGTTTTATCCTAAATATGTTTTATAATATATTATACAATACAATACAAATCTAAAAAATCTTTTAAAAAAAATTTGGGACTAAATGGCAATTCAATCTCAAATGTTTTTGTACAATCCCAAATGGTAATTTAATAAATTTCAAATGGAAATTTAATCCCAAATACCAAGTCAATCAATCTTAAATTGCAATTCAATCAATCCAATTAACAATTAATTTCCAAAAGATAATTTAGTTCCAAATGGTAATTCAGTCAATCTTAAATGGAAATTCAAACACACACACACACACACACGCATAGATATGTGTAGATTTGCACAGATTTGTGCATCACACAACACAACAGACACACACAACACAACACATACACACATAGTCGTCACTCTCACAAATATGTACAAATGTGCAAATATGCACACACACACACACGATTTGCCCAGATCTGTGCATCACACAACACAACACACACACACACACAAAACACATACAGATGCACAAATATGCATAGATCTGTGTCTTCGTTTTTGGGTTTCACAAATAGCGAGCGAGCGAGAGAGAGAGAGGGAGCATCATCTTCTTCCACAAAACAAAGAGATCTTCTTCTTCCACGCCATCTAACCACACAGATCGTCTTCTTCCACGCCATCGGTTCTCTTCGTCCGTGTACAAAGAAAGAGAGAGAGAGAGAAAGAGAATGGGTGAAAAGTGACTGAAGTCTTCTTTTATACTTCCACGAAAAATAACACATTTTTGTTAATAATGAGGGCCGAATTCGAGACCTCATTAAAATCTTCAGTTGAGTTGCGCGCATGTTTTGTGTTTCGGGTGTTTTCTGAAACACAATTTTTTTGTTCCCGTGTTTTTGTCTTTGTTCTCATTTTTTCCAAGACAACTAATATAAAACAAAAACAAAAACAATACCAAAACATATTTTTGTTTTCATTTTTGACAAAAATTAAAAACAAAAACACAAACACAAGACAGAGACAGTTATCAAACGGGCCTTAGCTTTCCAAGTGGACGGACCACGTATATTTGTGATTTCTATTTTTCTTGTTTCTCGATCATTTTATTTATATTCAAAATATATTAGTTTCCTAATGTGTTAAGTTTGCCATATGTTACATGTAATCTCTTTCTTCACAAATCTAGAATTCACACAGTGGAAAGATTGAATGTTCCTGTAGCAGGAGTTTTGCTCACACACACACACACAAATATATATATATTTGATGGGACATTTTTGAGAAAAAACAAGGGGTTTGAGACGTGTCCTCGGCACCGATAACACCCCCATCTGGTGAAGATATGTGTCCTCGACATCAGAGACACCTTTTGCTCTCTGGTAATGACGTGTGTCCTTGGCTCCAAGGACACTTCAAGCTCTCTGATGGAAACACATGTCTTCGGTACCAAGACACCTTTTATTCTTTAGTGATGACACGTGCCCTCGGCACCGAGGAAACTTCCAAGGTTTTGTAGTCTTGAGATTCTGACACATGTCCCCCCATGATTGGATCTCAAGGACTCTTTTGGACACGTCATCTCGGCTCTTGGAAGGATCGTTGACAGTTACAGTCTATCAATCTCAGAGTTAGATTGTGAATCGTTGGCTTGCCTTCCCAATGGAGTCAGAGTGACAGGAAAGACAAGACCAATAATCAAAGAGAGTTAAACACATGGCCGGGAGTACAGAAGTAGGGGCCAAAAGACAAAGAAGCCCTTATTTGTATGTATTCGTCACAAGGAAGCATTTAATGATCCCTCAAAGGGATGGGAAGTAGTTAATGCTCGGGGGCCTGGGAGAAACAACATTAAATGCTCGGAGCCAGGGAGAAAGGGTATTAAATGCTGGGGAGGCCGAGTATTTAATGTCTGAGCTTAGTCCCTACAAATTGGAGGGTGTGCTACCCAATGACCGAGCACCGCCTACTACTTACTAATCAGTAATGATGACCTTTATGGAATGTATAAATAGCTCTCTAAAACTCAAAACAAAGGTGCGCAAATTGACCTCTTAGAACATACACTGTGCTTTCCTTTCCCTTCTCTTACAGAAACTGACTTGACCATTGAAAGGAATACGTCGAAAAATACTCCGGCGCCCTTCTAACCCCTCTTTTTGTGCAAGGGACCGTCTGTAACTCGCCGGGATCGATTAGACAGCCCTATAGCAATTCATCATCACTTCTTAGGCCCCCTTTGGCCTTCCTTTGCCATCAGATAATCAACTTTCGAGGAAAACACAAGTTTACCAAAGAAGAGAGCTATCTTTCTCTATTTGGTGTGCGAAAATTATCGCGCACATATGTTTATGTATATATATATAGAGAGAGAGAGAGAGAGAGAGAGAGATAAGGAACTTTTAAGACATTTGTACAATAAAAGATAGTGGCAGCTAAGCTTTATTTCGCCTATAGGGTCATACAGAACTACAGATACATTGACATGTAAATTCAACTACAGATAAATTAATATGTAAATTCTCATTCCAGAAAAGTACCACTTTTTTTTTTATTAAAAGGTTGATACTTCCATACAACTGTAAAATATGTCTGAAGTGCCACCGTCAGGCATGAGAGCCAGAATCACAGGATCTTTTGCACTTTCTTCGACAGTCGCTATCCCACAATTATAATTTATANCAAATTTAAGAGGGTCTAGATGTAACTTACCCGACTAATTTTAGACGGTTGTTAGTTTCAAGTTCACATTGATATAAATTTATATATTTGAGGCTGCAAATTAAGATTTTTTTCATCTTTGAGGCTGCAAATTGAGATTCGAAAATTTTTTCAAAGTGCAATTTGTGATTAACCCTCCAAAAAAAAGGGTACGGCACAATCATATTTTATAAGTTTTATAAGTTGATATATAAATTTCTTATTTGTTTACAATAAAAAAATTACACTGTTTTGGGTAGTATTACAATTTTTAGGGCTCAAGTTACTATTTTTTATTGTCTAAGTTCTAATTTTTTTGTGATACTTGAGTTCGATCTTAAAAATGTTAGAATAATTCTAATTTTATTTTAGGATTTTAAGATCAACCCCAAATCAGCTCAAAAATTGTAACTGATCCACAAAATTATAATGACGGTATACTACCAATGTTTTTTTTTTCAATGCTGTAGCATTCTCCAATGGCACGTATGTTGTGACATCATCAAAAATCATAACTAACTTAATCCATTTGTCCTCACGTATTCGTGTCCGATACATCTGAGACACGGATACGCCCGGACATGTGTCGAAGACGCAAAACTTATTGTCCGAACCTTGTTTTTATGTTTTTGATAATTTGATACGTCTCGGATACAATTTCTCTAACTTACCAATTTTCTGTTGTTCACAGTAGTTGGGGTTGATGAAGACAGACGACAACGATAATAAAGAAATAGAAGAAAAAGGCAAATCTCTGAGCAATGGAACACCAAAGGGGTTCATTGATATGCAGCCATCGGCCACATTTGATATTTTCAAGTTGATAAGGAGATAAGGCAAAAATCTAAGAAAACCAATAATGATATGCCACGTGGCAATGACTTGATTTAAACAATACAAGGAAAAAAAATATCTGTCATTTTCCCACAAAAAAAAAAAGTAGATCTGCCCGTAAGTGCCCCCACCCCACGTAGATGTGCCCGTAAGGCCCCCCACCCCCCTCTTTCTCTCTCTCTCTCTCAAACACACCGACACACCTCTTCTCTGTAATCTCTCTCTATTTTCTCTATAAAGATGGAAAACTTGTACATTCTATTGGATGGGCTAACTCAATAATTAATCTGTATCATGGGTCTTTGTTTGGTCCAATAAATTTAATGGGTAAATTAAAATTAGATTACATTTGAGCCAAATTTATTCATTTACTTGGGTCAAAAGTATGTATAAAAATGTGTATTGGGTCAAATTTATGAACTACTAGTCATATAAAAATTAAATACATATATTTATTCAACATGTCCCCAATGTGTCCGTGTTCTACTTTTTTAAGAAATAGCATAGTCACATGTATGTATCATATCATATCTGTAGCCGTGTTCGTGCTTCTTAGATAGACTCTAAGTCACGGACCTTAAAAATGTCAATCAAACAAAGAATAAGTAATTGTGTTGAACTTTTTTTTCAACCGTGGTGTATTCTTACACATATAGATAGATTGATGTAAATCAAAACAAAACTAGTGAGAATGATGAGAAATTTAGGGGTCATTTGGTAACATTTTCGTTTTCACGTCTTCAAAACAATCAAAAACAGAGACAATTTTTGTCTCTGTTTTGTGATAAGCACTGAAACAGAAAACATGTTTGAATGTCATTTTTGTCTATCAAATAATTAGAATAAAAAACAAAACGTGTTTTATAACTAATTCACGTTTTATCCTAAATATGTTTTATAATATATTATACAATACAATACAAATCTAAAAAATCTTTTAAAAAAAATTTGGGACTAAATGGCAATTCAATCTCAAATGTTTTTGTACAATCCCAAATGGTAATTTAATAAATTTCAAATGGAAATTTAATCCCAAATACCAAGTCAATCAATCTTAAATTGCAATTCAATCAATCCAATTAACAATTAATTTCCAAAAGATAATTTAGTTCCAAATGGTAATTCAGTCAATCTTAAATGGAAATTCAAACACACACACACACACACACGCATAGATATGTGTAGATTTGCACAGATTTGTGCATCACACAACACAACAGACACACACAACACAACACATACACACATAGTCGTCACTCTCACAAATATGTACAAATGTGCAAATATGCACACACACACACACGATTTGCCCAGATCTGTGCATCACACAACACAACACACACACACACACAAAACACATACAGATGCACAAATATGCATAGATCTGTGTCTTCGTTTTTGGGTTTCACAAATAGCGAGCGAGCGAGAGAGAGAGAGGGAGCATCATCTTCTTCCACAAAACAAAGAGATCTTCTTCTTCCACGCCATCTAACCACACAGATCGTCTTCTTCCACGCCATCGGTTCTCTTCGTCCGTGTACAAAGAAAGAGAGAGAGAGAGAAAGAGAATGGGTGAAAAGTGACTGAAGTCTTCTTTTATACTTCCACGAAAAATAACACATTTTTGTTAATAATGAGGGCCGAATTCGAGACCTCATTAAAATCTTCAGTTGAGTTGCGCGCATGTTTTGTGTTTCGGGTGTTTTCTGAAACACAATTTTTTTGTTCCCGTGTTTTTGTCTTTGTTCTCATTTTTTCCAAGACAACTAATATAAAACAAAAACAAAAACAATACCAAAACATATTTTTGTTTTCATTTTTGACAAAAATTAAAAACAAAAACACAAACACAAGACAGAGACAGTTATCAAACGGGCCTTAGCTTTCCAAGTGGACGGACCACGTATATTTGTGATTTCTATTTTTCTTGTTTCTCGATCATTTTATTTATATTCAAAATATATTAGTTTCCTAATGTGTTAAGTTTGCCATATGTTACATGTAATCTCTTTCTTCACAAATCTAGAATTCACACAGTGGAAAGATTGAATGTTCCTGTAGCAGGAGTTTTGCTCACACACACACACACAAATATATATATATTTGATGGGACATTTTTGAGAAAAAACAAGGGGTTTGAGACGTGTCCTCGGCACCGATAACACCCCCATCTGGTGAAGATATGTGTCCTCGACATCAGAGACACCTTTTGCTCTCTGGTAATGACGTGTGTCCTTGGCTCCAAGGACACTTCAAGCTCTCTGATGGAAACACATGTCTTCGGTACCGAGACACCTTTTATTCTTTAGTGATGACACGTGCCCTCGGCACCGAGGAAACTTCCAAGGTTTTGTAGTCTTGAGATTCTGACACATGTCCCCCCATGATTGGATCTCAAGGACTCTTTTGGACACGTCATCTCGGCTCTTGGAAGGATCGTTGACAGTTACAGTCTATCAATCTCAGAGTTAGATTGTGAATCGTTGGCTTGCCTTCCCAATGGAGTCAGAGTGACAGGAAAGACAAGACCAATAATCAAAGAGAGTTAAACACATGGCCGGGAGTACAGAAGTAGGGGCCAAAAGACAAAGAAGCCCTTATTTGTATGTATTCGTCACAAGGAAGCATTTAATGATCCCTCAAAGGGATGGGAAGTAGTTAATGCTCGGGGGCCTGGGAGAAACAACATTAAATGCTCGGAGCCAGGGAGAAAGGGTATTAAATGCTGGGGAGGCCGAGTATTTAATGTCTGAGCTTAGTCCCTACAAATTGGAGGGTGTGCTACCCAATGACCGAGCACCGCCTACTACTTACTAATCAGTAATGATGACCTTTATGGAATGTATAAATAGCTCTCTAAAACTCAAAACAAAGGTGCGCAAATTGACCTCTTAGAACATACACTGTGCTTTCCTTTCCCTTCTCTTACAGAAACTGACTTGACCATTGAAAGGAATACGTCGAAAAATACTCCGGCGCCCTTCTAACCCCTCTTTTTGTGCAAGGGACCGTCTGTAACTCGCCGGGATCGATTAGACAGCCCTATAGCAATTCATCATCACTTCTTAGGCCCCCTTTGGCCTTCCTTTGCCACCAGATAATCAACTTTCGAGGAAAACACAAGTTCACCAAAGAAGAGAGCTATCTTTCTCTATTTGGTGTGCGAAAATTATCGCGCACATATGTTTATGTATATATATATAGAGAGAGAGAGAGAGAGAGAGAGAGATAAGGAACTTTTAAGACATTTGTACAATAAAAGATAGTGGCAGCTAAGCTTTATTTCGCCTATAGGGTCATACAGAACTACAGATACATTGACATGTAAATTCAACTACAGATAAATTAATATGTAAATTCTCATTCCAGAAAAGTACCACTTTTTTTTTTATTAAAAGGTTGATACTTCCATACAACTGTAAAATATGTCTGAAGTGCCACCGTCAGGCATGAGAGCCAGAATCACAGGATCTTTTGCACTTTCTTCGACAGTCGCTATCCCACAATTATAATTTATATCTGTTTTCACAAATCCAGGACATACTGCATTTATAGCAATATTGGGATATGTCTTTGCCAAAATCCTCGTGTAGGCATTAAGAGCTGCTTTAGAGACCATATAAGCAGAGAAATTTGTAGGCCAACCTTTACTTTCCGGCAAACATTCTTTGACATCCTTCAAAAATCCCTTCACCACCTCGTCCACTTTCTCCTCTGTGAGCCCATTAACATCTCCTAGCTCCTCCGTAGCTCTTTCATGAGACATAAGCTGAAATATAATCAAACATGTTGCATCTTTTAGACTCATGGATGCATAAAGTTCGAATGCATGCAAATTACAGAGGAGACATTAACAAGCCTGGCTGAATTTGATTTCTGAAGAAGAGGTAAAAGTGCTTTTTTCGCATGCTTAACACCATAGTAGTTGGTTCCTAGACAGGCTTCTGATTGCTCATAAACTTCCTTAAGAATTTCCTTAAGCATTTTAGTCTTGGAACCTACGACCTATATCCACAATTTGATTTCAATTCAACTTATAAATACTGGAATGTAATGAGAAATTATACGTCATGAGACTTACCTCATCAATACCAAGTTTTAAATTTTCCCGAGTTTCTTGAACGATTATTGCTCCAATAACTCCTGCATTATTTACCTGCACCAAGGGTTACTCATTTACTTATCTTTGCTCAAACATAAATTTTTAAAGTCTGCAAGTGGAATCATTTTGCACCTCAACCACCATATTGATCTAACAACAAATTTCCATTCATATCAGGTGGATACTAGTTTTATGGTTCTAATCTTACCAGTATGTCAAGATTCCCAAATTGTTTCTTGATGAAGTCTAACAAGGAAGCAACACTAGCAGGGTCCATGACATCTAGCTGATGGAAAATGTAAGGGGTAGAAATCGCTACGGATCTCATCCCTCCACTTGAAGGATTTCGGCTTGACCTGGGTTAACCCACGTGGGCGACCCCCCAGTAGCCTTTACCCCTCAGTGCCCGCAGGAGCTTCGTCCCACATCGACTGAGANCGCTTCTCATTTCTGGTTGTTAATACTACCGTGACTCCATTGGAGGCTAATTGTCTGCATATCTCGAACCCAATCCCCTTATTAGCTCCAGTCACGACCGCCACCTTGAACATCATAGACATAACAATGGAAATTAAAGAAGAAACCCATATGAGGATTCACCACCTCTTAAAACCCCACAAATAGGAGTGGGGGTGGGGGTGGGGGGAGAGAAAGATCACTAAACATGCATTTAAAGACTTTGTTTGATAAGAAGAGATCAAAGAGAACAATGTTATACCTCTTGGTTGCCTGATCTTGCATTGTTTGAGCCATATTAGCGACTTCTACAAATCATGGTTGGATAAGTCAGTGCTACTGTGTTGGGATTATGGTATTCTGCCCATTTGCTTTATTTCACGGACTCTGTGTGAGAAGACAATTTGCTATGTTTTTTTTAAAAAAAAAAACAGAATTTGATATGTTCAAATTTGAAGAAATCAAAAACCTACTAAAGACTTCTTTGACATAGAAAAGGCCTTTGTAAGAAATATTCAATANCAGAATTTGATATGTTCAAATTGGAAGAAATCAAAAACCTACTAAAGACTTCTTTGTAAGAAATATTCAATATAACGGTTATACCATATTATTACCGTCACGTGGTGGTATATCCGACCAATTGTGNACAGAATTTGATATGTTCAAATTTGAAGAAATCAAAAACCTACTAAAGACTTCTTTGACATAGAAAAGGCCTTTGTAAGAAATATTCAATATAACGGTTATACCATATTATTACCGTCACGTGGTGGTATATCCGACCAATTGTGAATAAATATGTATTTGAGTAATGGATCCGGATAAATTGTATAACCACTAACAACTACTTCCACATTCAAAACTATCACGTAAGATGGGTTAGGGTTCACTTATCCTATTTAGTTGTTTAATATTGATCGATTACACCACGTGACGATAGTAGTATGATCTAACCATTACATTAAATATTAACTTGTCCTTTGCACAATGATCATGTGTAGACCCAAATAGTGTGACATGATATGGTGTATGTATAATAGAGTGAAAAATATTAATGTATTGCATGGATAAAATTTTAGTCAATAGTTTAATGGAGTGAGTATAAATGGAANATAGTATGATCTAACCATTACATTAAATATTAACTTGTCCTTTGCATAATGATCATGTGTAGACCCAAATAGTGTGACATGATATGGTGTATGTATAATAGAGTGAAAAATATTTATGTATTGCATGGATAAAATTTTAGTCAATAGTTTAATGGAGTGAGTATAAATGGAATAGTTTTAGTATTTAAAATAAGAGAATTAAATGGGAGGGAGGAAAAAAAATATAAGAGGTGCGAATAGCCCTATCTTTTTTCAAATTGTTTGAATTTTCTTAAATCCACGGTTATTTTTTTAAATTGTTTGAATTTTCTTAAGTCAACGGTTCAAATTACAGGCCCATCCTTTGGGTAAACATTCACGGGCTTTAATCGATCCAATTGTCGCACCTAATTGATCAAAAACCATATCTCGTGGCTCATTCAATCAAACGCGAGCCAATGAATCTAGTGAATTCCACTACTTTATATGGGGTTATCATATTACATAAGGAGTTGGTTATTGATTTTAGTAGCGTCCAATTGCTATGGACCCCTCCCCCTCCTTAGTGATTTATAATTTTCCTTTGGATCTTTAGGTTTTGTGTTAATTATTGAGAATTAATAGTTGACCATCTTTAGTTTGGTATCTTTTCAATATCGCCCCTTATAGCTATAATCCTCCAGTACATTTTTGCCCAACTTTTAGTAAGCCTCCCACTTGGAAAATTTTAGCTCTGTATAGGACAAAACCATGTGGAAGAGGTTTTCTCTTCTTTTGTTTTTTTTTGAAGTTAATTGCCTGTTATTGCCAATGCATCAACATGAACGACAACAACTCTAAAACATTCACCCACACACACACACACAAAAAAAAAAAACCTTTAACCAAATCTCAATATAAATCCCTCGTTTTGTTTGTCAAAAATGAATATTTATCGTGCTCTCGATTGCATATCTTTTAAAATACTTGTTATTTTTGTTCAAACTGACTTAACTGCATGAGTTCCTTGTGCGAGGCAAAGACTAACTGGGGAGGATATCATTAGTTTGCTTTCTGCATTTTATATTTAAATTAGAAGAAAAATTTTGAACAAAACCAAAGTTAAACACTGGATTAATGGCCTTATCCAAGAGTTATTGGGTTACAAATATCCTTGATACTTTCTCTCTCCGTGTTGACTATGCAAATATGGAAGATATATGCTGACATCTTGAGTTTTACCCTCACATATAGGAACAGTTTCATATGCATACACGCACACACATAGTATATATATACACACATGAGGAGCTTCTAAGGCCAATAAAAAATAAAATCAAGTAGCAGCTGAGCTTTATTTCTCCTCTAGGGCCTTATAAATACATAGATCGATATCTAAACCCTCATTCCAAATTCTACCACATTTTATCTATTAAAAGATTGATACTTCCGTGCTACTAAAAAACAGGCCTGAAGGGCCACCATGAGGCATAAGAGCTAGCATCACAGGACCTTTTGCACCTTCTTCAACAGTCAATATCCCAGTATTATAATTTATTTCTGTTTTCACATATCCGGGACATATTGCATTTATGGCAATATTGGGATATGCCTTTGCCAAAACCCTTGTGTAGGCGTTAAGAGCTGGCTTTGGAGACCGTATAAGCAGATAAATTTGTAGGCCATCCTTTAGTTTCCAACAATCTCTCCTTTGCATCCTTCAAATATTCCTTCACCACCTCATCCACTTTCTCTTCTGTGAGCCCATTAACATCTCCTAGCTTCTCCTTAGCTCTTTCATGAGACATAAACTGAAATATAATTCAACAGTTATTTTAAGATATTAACCATTTTTCATAAAAAAAAAAACTTAGAATAAAATTTATTAGTGAAGGTATGTGTTTGTCCACAATCAATTTTTTTTTTTTTTTTTTGGGTTATGGAGAATAATTCCAACATTGCATCTTAAAACTCATGGCCGCTCAACAAAATTCGAATGGATGCAACACCTACTAAGCACTTGCGTTGGTTAAACCCAGATATGGAATACCGACTATGAAGAATAAGTTTTGTACCTGAAGCTGCCCCAATGTAGCGGAGACATTAACAAGTCTGGCTGAATTTGATTGATGAAGAAGAGATAAAAGCTCTTTTGTCACTTTCTTAACACCATAATAGTTTGTTCTTATACAGGCTTCTATCCCCTCGTAACCTTCCTTAATAACTTCCTTGAGCAATTTAGCCTTGTCACCTACAACCTATATCCACAATTTATTTTGGAAAGATTCAAATCATAGAACAATTTGTGTACCAAATGACTTTATCACAACTTGTAAAGATTGGAACATAACGAAAAAACTTATATCAAGAGACTTACGTCATCAGGCCCAAGTTTTAAATCTTTTCGAGCTTCCTCATCGATAACTACTCCAGTAATTGCTGCATTATTTACCTGAACCAGGGATTCCTCAATTAGTTATCTTGCTCAAACATACATTTTCAAAGTCTTGATTAAATAGCCAAATTCCAAGCTATGGAAGACGAAAAGTGTAGACCCTTCTCCATTGGACAATGTTTAATGCTAACCATGAATAAGTAACTCCTAAATTCTCTCTCTCTCTCTCTCTCTCTCTCTCTCTCTCTCTCTCTCTCTCATATTCATGAAGAAGTAAGTTCTAAATTATAATCTTACCAGTATGTCAAGCTTCCCAAATTGTGTCTTGATAAAATCTGCCAAGGAAGCAACGCTAGTTGGGTGCATGACATCAAGGTGATGGAAAAATACATCTGAAAGTCCAGAAGTTTGAAGTTTCTCCACAGCTTCAATGCCACGTTTCTCATCTCTAGCAGTTAATACCACAATAACTCCACTTGAGGCTAATTGTCTACATATTTCTAATCCAATCCCCTTATTAGCTCCCATCGACCGCCATCCTAAACATTATAAATAGAGTCACAAAAATTAAAGAACAGTTTCATCAAAGAATTCATCATGTTGTAAAATTTCAAAAAAGAGAGAGATGACACGAGTATTTGAAGACTTTGTTTCAGAATATGTTATCAAAGAGAACAACATCATACCTCTTGGTTGCCTAATCTTACAGTGCTTGAGCCATATTATATCCGAGAATCTGTAATGGTGTGTGAGTTATAGTCTTGGACTTACTAGTATGAAGTGAAGTTTCATGGCTTGGCTATGAACTGCTACATATATTTTGCTTGGAGTCAATAATTAATAATATTTTCTGATTCCTGGTACAGCGCATGCCATGACATCACAATCATCTTTAGTTCAACGTAAGCCATGACAACGCAGTACCATATCTTATCTTATCTATGTGGTGAAGAACAAATGTCACGTATGCTGTGACATCATCGTGGGACGGAGGTCACTGACCTTCAGCAAAGCAGCAGTGAGGCGCCGCCCACGACAAACCTCAAGGCGGCGCCCACCACAGCAGTCTCCAGTCTTTAGGCGTCGCCCTCTACAGTCAGCACCCAGCCAGCCCAGTGTCTGGCGCCGGCGCCCTGCGCCAGAAGTTTGCCGCCCAAATCCTGAGCACGTGGCCAGTCTGGCGCCGCCCAATCTGTCTCCCCAGCCCTGCGTCGCCTCAACTGCTCCCCTGCGTCGGCGTCGGCGTCGGCGTCCTCCCTTCTACCCGGCGCCTAACTTACTGCTTGGCTAAGTGTTGGTGTTTCAACTAGTCTCCAAGTGGGAAAATTGTTGATTTTTTTTTATAGAGTCTAGTTTATATGTGTGATTCGAATGATAACTCGACCCGAAATAATGTTGTGTGGTTTTTAATGAAAAATTTTCTGAAGCTTAGTCCATGGAGCGAAGGCTTGGGCCGATACAGCCCAGTGCGTAGGACATATAAACCCTATTGTTTTGATGATTAAGGTTAATCGTGGATTGTACGGCCGCTCTCTGTAATTCAACTCTCTCAATAGTGAAATTCCTGCAGCTTCGTGGATGTAGGCAAATTGTCGAACCACGTAAAATCTGTGTTTTGTTCTTTCTTGTTTCTTATTGCTTTATATTTTTGATTTGTTCTTCGATTGTGTGTGTTTGTTAATGAATTTAAATCGAATTAAATCCCAACACTAAGGATTGACCCGGGACATAAAGTCCCAGCAAAACTTGACTCCTAGTATCAAGTGCATATAACTCTAAGACTCAACGTCTTAGTATAATTTTATCTCAAATATTTGGGTGATTGATGATAAGGTTTAGTATAATTTTATCTCAAATATTTGAGTGATCGATGATAAGGTTTACTTTATGACAACATAGAGGTCGATTATATTTGAAATACCATTTCCTATATCGCTATAAATAAAATTTAGGGTACCAGGTATGTCATTAGCGTATTCATTGTATATATTTTTTTTTAACTTTTTTACTGATTTAAGTATCAGAGGTCCTTTGACCGCATCAGATCATCGATTCACTTCGACGTTCTCATGTCTTGCAGGTTCACCAAAGTTTTTTCGCCACCCTTTCCCTCTGTGCAAGTTTGTGATCTTTTGGGTGAATTTATCCCCCACACAATTATCTAGGCGACCAGGCACTTAGTTTGAAAGACGTTTTGATATGGTATCTCCAATTTTTTATTTTTTTTTAATTTTTATGAATTATTTACAAAAAAATTATTATTATTGTGAATAATTTATTATTTTTGTGAGTGTTTTTGTCACATTTGTGATAATTATTTTTATCACTTATTTTTGGTACAAAAAAAAATTACCATTTTTGTAGATAATTTATCATATTTGTAAGTTTTTACCACATTTATGGATATTTTTATTATTATAATAATATTTATTTTTACCATTAATAAAAACACTTACAAACCCAAGTATTACCAAAAAAACAAAATTGATACCGCAGTCAACTCACCGAAGTTGAGTTAGTTTGATGATTTAACTTTGTTGGCTGAATAGGTAGTTTTTTTTTTTCTTTTAATGTTTGGTCTCAAAATTAAATACTTGGTGGCTAGGTAAGTGATGATACATATCAGGCCGATCTAGGCTCTGGTCTCACTTTATTGAAATAATTAAATTTTTTATTGAGCATATAATTATTTTTTATTTGATATTATTATTTTTTTGTTGAGTGTGTTATAATTTTTTTTATTAAACGTGTTATTATTTAATGTTACTATATATATATAAAATATAAAAATAATTTTAATTGTAACACAATTTCTAAGTTAGAATTATTATGTTTGAAAATATTGAAACTAATAATGATGGATAATATTTATGATAAGGGTAATTATAAAATATACTTCAAAAAGAATTTGAAATCTTTTAAAATATGTACTTATTGACAACTATTTAATAAAAAGAAGTCTTAATGGAGTATAAATTTAGATGTAATACTTAAAGACAAATAAGTTTTAAAAAAGATATTCATCGCCAATTATTCGTTAAAAATGGGAATTTAAAAGTTGGTATAATTTTTTAGACTTATTTGAACAAAAGTACCGGTCAAAAACTTATTTGGGATAAAATACATATTTTTTAAAAATGTCACTATTACTATCGATAAACAACATATGGATTGAAACCCTTTGGTATTCTTTCTAGTTTTTTTTTTTGTTACAATCAAGTAATAGGAGGTAAAATAGGGGCATATTTTTTCTGACAATTTCTCTCTCTCTCCCTATTTTTTCTTACTTTATTTATATTAATATTACAACAACACAATTACACTAATCAGTTACAATTGTAATATAATACACTAAACAGTTATACATATGTTCTAATAAACCAAGATACACAAAACAATTACACAAAATTATGACATCAACTCAATTTGTCATACAGTTGTTTACATAAATTAAATAGTTGCATCATTTAGTATTGTAGCATCGTTACAACATCCTGTCTTAACAATTGCATGAGACTGTGATTGTTAAACTCATTAAAAAAATACAATTACACCCATTAAAAAACAATTATACTCATTAAATAATAATTGCATCTATTAAAAAAATAGTTACACCCATTAAAAAAATAGTTATACACATTAAAAAATAGTTACACTTATTAAAAAAAACAAATAAATTTTTTTTTCCTACATCTCAACAACGAACAATACATAAATATCTAACAAAACATTTTGATTGATTCTCTTTTTTTTAAAAAAAAAAAAATTCAAGGTTTGATCAATCATCATAGTAAAAGACTTTATTCCTTTTGGTCAGATGTCGTGGAAGCAAGGTTAGTGGCATGAGACGATATATATATATATTAGTTATTGTCTGTGCCTGAAGACACAAAATAATAAAAAATAGTAAACAGTAAACATATTTATATTCATATCTAAAATCAAATCACAAACATAGAGATGAGACAAAAGAATTTAAACATCAGTTTATAGTGAGAGTGAAAGGTAATAAGCAACAGTGGTGATGATGGTGGCGGCGAAGATGGTGGTGCGGTGGCGATGGCGACAGCATCAGCGGTGGTGGCGGCTACGGTGGTGGGGGTGGCGGTGGCGGTGAGTGTGGGGGTGGCGGCACTGGCAATGAGTGTGGGGTGGCAGTGGGGTGATGGTAATGACAGCGATGATAGTGGTGGTGGCAGTGGCAGCAGTGGTGATAGTGGTGGTAGTGGTGAAACAGTTTCAAATACTATTTTTTTTAAAAAAATATTTATAAGAAATTATTTATAGAAGTATTTTTAAAAAGTCACTCCAAACACACCCTTATGATTTATTTTTTCTATTAAATTTAGGGTATTAATATTAACAGATAGATTAACTTTAAAATAAATTTAAAACGATCTTCACCACGAATATTAAAAATTATTTTATTTATCTTTTAATATTTGAATTATAAACTATTTTATTTTATATACATATCACTTATACTTTGCACCCATACTCCTTCATCTTCATCTTCTAGCACGAAAAATCTCTATTTTTGCTCTCTCTTGCTCTCTGTAAACTCCTATTTTACCTTCCATTATTACTGTTAATTTTTACATATTTATTTTTTCAAATAACTGTCAATGATGACTACATAAATTAAGGAAAAGTGTTTAAATAAAAAAAAATTTTAATTCATTTTAAATTTTCTACTTAAACACAAAAAATTTTATAAAAATTGTACTTAATAAAATAAATAACTTATTCATACACTTTTACTCAAATTAGCCTAAAAATTTGTACTCACACCCAAAAATCTATATCTATATTCCTTTAAAAAGTAAACAAATGTGAAAAACATTTGTTTTCCATCTTTGCCCTCCAAAAGTGTAACTATGTCATCCATCTCTTTTGCATTTAACGACAGGGAAACAAAATTGCCGCTCCACTTCTTTCCTAATCCAGTCATCTCCTTCCTCTCTCCATTTTCAGTTGTTTTTCTGTCTCTCTCATGCGTCTTTACGATTTTCTCTCACCGGTCTCTCGCCCCTCTGCCTTTCTCCTTTACTAGTCGTTACATTCTCTCTCTCAATAATTTGCCCAATCTTCTCACCCATCTCTTAGTCTCTCTCCCTCTCTATACTTTTCGCAACCTTTAATCTCTCTCTTTCTTCACAAATTGTCCAGCACCAATACGGAAACCATCAATTCCATCAGTTACTCCCTCTCCCTTGTGTACTCACAAATCGGCCATTAACAACCCACTGTTCTTCATCTCTTCACCTTCCCCTTCCCCTTCCCCTTCCCCTTCCCCTTCCCCTTCCCCTCTCCGTCTGCCTCCCTTTAAAGTAACATCTTATTCTCTAGCTTGGGCAAAAAGGAGTTGCTATGGATGCTGAATTCCTGGAGAAAGATGAGAAGTCACCTCTTCTCTGCTCTTTTTCTCTGGCTTGGGCGAAAAGGAGTGACTATGGCTGATTTCGCAGACTTGATTATGCTCTCATCTCTCACCTCAAGTGTCTGTTTGGAGTAAAGGCCACAGTTGTTCTTCTATATAAAGCCCTCACCGACTTCCCTACTCAACCAGAGGTGTCTTCTTCTTCAGCATTTCCTGATCTTGGCGAGGTAAGTTGTGTTCTTCTTCAACCGATTGAATTTATGTACGCATATTTCCATGTGTTCGTATTTTGTAGATTGTGTTCGCCTATCGCATGTTTCCTTTTATGTTCTTGATTTATTGTTTTTCGGTTTTTGTTGGAGGCAGTTGTGTGGTGGGTCTGGTGGGTTAAGGATGTATTGATTTCTCAATTTTCTTGGG